AAATTATTTTATTGGCTATTTTTTTTACCCCCTGAGTTTGCTTTTCTATGACTTGTAAAAAAAGAAAGAAAGTAGAAAAAGGCACTTCAGTTCATCTGGCAAAGGTTTTCATAAAACTGGAGCTCTAATGGAAGGCGGACGTTTTCTCTTTGCCACAAAATTGTGACCTGGAAATCCTAACTGGATCTCCGTGTCCTGGAGACCAGGTAAGAGGGAGAGTTACTTTCAAAACAGGAACCTTTAAGGTGATACATTTTAAATGAGATGAATTCAAAATCTAAATGATGATGTTTGTGTTTGTATGCTTAGAATGGCGATAAGTCCAGCTGTTGTTGACTGATTCCGGGGTAAAACGTACAGCCGTCATCAAGGTGACAGTAGACAAAGACAAGCTTCAAACTGCCTTACAGAAGAACAATGTTTCACCCTCTCTGACACTATAAACACAAACTTTAGTGAATTTCACTGGATCTTATGTGATTGAGCTACACAGAGAAGTACATAATTGTGAAGTGGATGACATGGTAGACTTAACGACCACAACAGCTGAAATCCACAAATCCAGAAGACCTGCTCTAAAAGCTTTGTAACTGTCTATTTTAATAGGCTAAATATACCTAAATATGCATTAATATGTGACCCATAGAGTTGTCCAGCTTTTCAGTATGAATATAACAGTTATTTTCAAATTTGAGCATTATTTAGTTTAACAACAGGAAATGCTGTCTTCACTGATGAAGATTCAGTCACTGTGGCAGGTAAGATGCTAATGGATATTGAAACTGATGGCTCCTCTTACTTTCTGATAACCATTAATGATCGTCTTACCAATTAGGGGCACACAGAGACGAAAGTGATGCCCTCTGTTCTGATGCAGCGGAACAATGTGAATTCACACCATTGGTCTCAGTGCACTCTGAAAAGATCAAATAAACAGCAACCTGCATACTTAAAGATTTCATTCTGATGATAACACAGCAGGTGTTGTTCTTCATTTTCTTTATTCATCCCTACGCTTTTTTTTTTTCAGACTTGTCTATATTTTTCTTTAGGTTGAAGTCCCCATGGAGCTCCTTATAGCACTCTCTCAGATTTGCTCTGTAGTTCAACTCAACAGTTTCTCCAGTACACTATAGCACAAAGTACAACCTGCGGCAAATTTTGGAATTTATGTTGGTTCTGTTTCAACAAATCAGGAGCTTTTTCTCTGGAATACCTCACTAGTGTCAGATTTTGACATTTTGGACGCAGTCTGAGATGAGACTGGAGGCCCAGTGTTGTCCTCAAATGACCAGAAAGTAAATATCCACTTGGAACCCTGCTTTCTCAGCCAGCCTCGACAACAAGTTGTCCTCAGATGACACGGCACACGGACAGACAGCCAACCGTTTAGGAAGTAGTTATTGAAATTGTTTTTCTCTCCACACTTTGGCTGGGTCACACTGGCATTTCTTTGCATATATATATATATATATATATATATATATATATATATATATATATATATATATATTGGTCTATAAATAATTACTTAAAAATTCATCCTAATTTAGTGTTTTTGGATTCGTGAATTTTCTCCAGAACAGTATAAATTTTGACAACAAAATTTTAATTTACACAATTTGAGTGATTTTTTACACCCTCAGCTTGTAGTTGGTTTTGATTCCTTTCATGTGAATATAGGAGAATCACATTTTGAGCATAAAAAAAAGAGCTAATATTTTTCCAGACTGATTCATGGCCCATTTTTGTTTGAGGGCCAGGAGATTACATCACATAAATCGAGTTAAATAATAATTATAATAACAATTTGGGGCAAAACGATTGACTTTTATTTTATAAAATATATGTGAACATTGAACAGTTTTCAGTGTAAATCCAGGCTTATAGTTTTACAGTGCCTTGCAAAAGTATTTATAAGCCTTTGGATGTTTGCCACTTTATAACCACAACCTGTATGTTTGTTGGTATTTTTCAAGGTTATTATAGTTATTAAATAAAACTAACAAAATCACAAAAACTGAAACTGAGAAATTATTTTAGCTGAAATGAGTTGATGGAAAAAACTATAACTAACTGGAACTAAATGATGTGTTAATAAAACTCACCAAAACATGCTAAAGTTATCGACATAATATCCTTAGTTTCCGTGTTTATGAATCAATTTTTTAACCTTTCAAAATGATTTAAAACTGATTTATTTTTCTGTTTACATCAGCTGTCTGCAAATTATGATTTTTCATATTCTTCCTGGCAAATCTCACACCAGTCCGCAAAATGGCGACAGCAAAAGTTAGACGCTTCCAGTTGGTTGTTCAACAATAATTTTTTTTAAATGTTATCTTCTGTTGAGTATGCATTACCCAATGGATGTATATCTAATAACAATGCAGTATTTTTTATCTTTTTGAATTCTGCACATTAAAATTAACCAAAGTATGAAAATACTAAAGCTACTGTAACTAATATAAGTTTTCAAAAAACTAAACTAAGACTAAGCAGTATTTAACTACGTCAGGATAACTAGCAAACAGAACACTCTAAAAACGAATTAGGTCACAGGTTCAATTCCTGGCCTGGTGATCTTTGCTGCATATCTTCCCTGAAAAGTAATAAAAACATTGAACAGTCAATAGTTGAAGGTATTAAAATGAAGTGAAAGTTATTGGGAACGACAGTAACTCAACCAAGATGCAGTAATGAAAATGTAAAAATGAAAGCAGCATCATTGGACCGTGAAGGGGATAAATCACAGAGGTCACTAACTTTCTGAAGAATCAACCGTTACGGACTTACAAACTTGCCGTTGCACGAACGTTAGCTCAAGAACTGTTCCTTGAGCGCATCATGTTGTGGGTTTCAGTTACTTTGCAGATGCATCCGCGCCATATTCACCAAGTGAAATTCAAAGTGTTGCATGCTATTGTGCAAATCATGCTGCAGTTACCATCTAGAGCAGTGGAGATGTGTTCTGTGGAGTAACAAATCGTGTTTCTCTGTCAGGCAGCTTGCCAGGAGAACGTCTCGACTGCCTGCACAGCACAGGACATTTTGGACTATTTCACTCTTTCAACGTTGTGGGAACTGGTACACAAAGTAATATCCACATACATTTGAGTGAGCAATTCTGATACAGAGGAGTTTGGCTGGTTTGACCTCAACCTGATAGAAGACCTCTAAGATTACTTTGCGGTAGACAAAGTGATCTTTGACAAAGACAAAGTAATCTTTGTCTGCCACATGTTTCCGTGGCAGAAACGTCCATGTGGCAGAATGATTATATGAAGTGTGGGAAGCACCATGTTAAACCATGCGGATTAAGAATGGTATGGTATGTGAAGGGGGTATGTGAACAGCAATTTTCAGGTAAGCCACAGGTTCTCAATTAGATTTAGATCTGGGTCATTCTGAATATTAACATTCTTAAACACTAACTATTTCCTTGTAGACCTAAAAATCTAAGTATCATCACTGGAAGGTAAACCTCCAACTTCTGTCAGCAGGTGGTCTTCCATTATTTCTGTTCAGCCATCAACTCTCACCAGTTTGCCTAAACAATAAAAGTGCTCTGGTATAATCAGAGCACTTCAACATGTTTGCTGTGTCCTTACATGACCTGGGGCAAATTAGACTTTTTTTTATGGCTTTCTTTCAGGAGTGGCTTGATTGGTGCTGCTTATACATGAAGGCCAGATTGATCCACACAGTTATAAAACCTCTGATTGGCTAAAAACAAGAAGAATTTAACTATTTTAGAGTAAAATGTAGAAAATGTCATATTGATCTACTGTGATTTGTTCTCATTGTTTGACATTGCAACATGTTGGATGCTGACTTGGTTTAAGCCAAAAGAAGACCGCGATGAGTCACAGCGTGTGTGTGTGGTACCTCACTAACTTCATTTTCTTCCACAGCACTTCGGTCCTCACCTCCTCTATTCCAAGCTATTGTGCATCTGCTTACTGTAATGAGGCTCGATAAGAACCAGCAAACAAAGCCGAGATAAGACGGAGATCCATTGAGCCTTTCCAAAACTCAGACAGGGCGTATGTTTGTTTATCTGTCTGCTTTTTTCTATTCCTCCTCTCTTTGACTTGTTCCATGTCATTCCTTGCCTTGAACTTGTTTTTAAACCAGTTTTTTTCTCATCTGCTGTTTGATTTCTTTACGCTTTTATGCGTCTGCCACATCTGTTCTTTGATATTTTTTTTGCATGTTTCTTTTCTTTTCCTTTCTTTCCTTGTTGCTTCATTTTATGTGGGTTGTCTCTCTCTTTCATGTTTTCACACAGGCTTTCCTCCCTCTGTGATTCCTTCCCCCGTCACACCACACCCCGTGTGTGATGCATCTCCCTCGTACCCTCGTTTTTATGTCTCAATAACAAGAAAAAGTAGTTTTCTCCTACTTCACAAACAGCCTCACCTCCTCCTCCTCTTTTCCTGTCCTCTTCCCTCACCCCCTCTCTTTCTTTTGGAATTTATTTCTTTCCCAGTCACACAAAAACCGCACTTGGTACTTTTGAAATGGAAATAAAGTTTTGTTGTTTCCTCAGCTGTAGCCTCCTCCAGCCCTGTTTATCAGGCAGACTTCAAAGTGGCATGCTGACATGTGGCGCTATCTCTCCGCCGCTCTGTGAAACAGGGTCACAGGCGGCGCTTGGCTCTCAAAAAAAAAAAAAAAAAAAAAAAAAAGAAAGAAAAACTTTCCCCTTTCATGTGAGAGCCTGGTGGGTGAGAGGAACCAAAGGGGGTCCATGCCAGCCCTCCGCCCGCGATCTCAGCTCAGACACCAATCGTCCACCGCTGCGCACATCTGCGTTTGTGTTTGTTGCGTGGGAGTTAGTGGAGGTGTGTGCTCTGTCAGCTTGGTCCTGCAGGCCAGCGGTTAGCCTCCCCGCGTTCTGCTGTGGTCCACCTAAACCACCTGTTGTTTCTGGTATCTCATGAATTTCTTCACCGAGTTCCCTCCCTCTGTCTGTGTTTTTCCTCTCCTTTCCCCAGCTGTGGAGCCAACCTGTGAGTGGCGGAGGAGTTGCTGATGAGTTTCGGACGGGACGAATGTGGGAGGAGGACAACAAAAGCAGGAAGCAAAAGATCAAAACGAATCAGAGGGAACGGCAATAAGAGCTGCTTATGAAAGACAACTCTGAGCCGCGCCCCGGACCACGTCCTTCATCCTCTCACCGTGCCACAAAATCCCCATCAATCTCTGCCACAATCCGTCCTCTTTTCCTGTGAGCCATCCCTTTATTCTCCCCTCCTTCAGAACATAGCTGAACCCCCTTCTACAGACCAGTGATCCAGGCAGCAGCAAAAAAAAAAAAGAACAAGGGGGGACGAGACAAGCTGTCACTAAGCACAGGAGGGACCCTGACTCGCTGCCGGGTGTGAGAAAACAGCTGCCTCTAGCTCGAGCGCATGGGCTGTTGATAAACAGAGATGGCGGTGAGACTGGCCGGTGCCACCCTGTCCTCTCGACCACCCTCCCCCTCTCCGACGGCCTCTGCCCGGACAGGTTAAGGTCGGTCCATCGGCATCCATCGCAGCATCTGCAGCAGCTGGCTGAGCGTGGGAAGGAGCAGTATGCAGGAAACTGACCTACCAGCTACAAATGCCTTCAAAGGTAAAAGCCGACAATGAGCACAGCTCTGTGTCCCCTACTGTGTGTGTGTTTGTTGTGCATCAACCTGTGTCCTGGTAAGAAAATCTCACATTGGAGTTGCACCAGGGTTCACTTCAACCAAACCGAGACCTTGGGTTTGGTCTGCGTCAGAGTTTGATTATGCATTCACAACTCCCCAAATGAACCACACTTTCTAGACAAACCAATTAGTTTGATTAAAGCAGACCAAACAAAGCTGGCATGAATGCACTGTTATGAACCAGAATCGATCAGTGGACAGAAGCAATATACTCCTTACTAGTGTGATGTTTGCACACTTATAAAGAAATACACTAGATTGGAGTTGATGTCACTTTACTAGTCAAGTCATACAAAATGCTTCTCTTATAGCAATACATGGTCACAATCTGTTATCTGGTCTCTACCACACTTGTGTGCACTTGCATCTCTGTCTTTTCTCTGGTGCGTTCACTGACAGTCTGTAATGGAAATGTACAAGCATCGCTGTATACATTACAACGAGTTCCAGACCAAATTGCCCCTTTGCCTCCAGAATTGCCTTGATTTGTCATATTATAGACCCCACAAGGTGCCCCTAACATTCCTCAGAGATACTTGTGAGCTGCACATCCACAATGCAGTTTCACAGCAAACTGTGGCTTGACTCATCCAACTGAGTCACATTTTTCAAATTATTATTGCCATCTTATGGTAAGCATCTGTGAATTGTAGCCTTGGTTTCTCTCTCTTTGCTGTATGGAGTGGCACCTGATGTGATCTTTTGCTTCTGTAGCAGCTTCAGTGTTCCACAAGGACCCTTTATATATGATACACCTAGTACTTTGGTTGTAGCTAGTGTTTATTCAAACTACTGCTGATCCTCCTCTGACGTCAGTAGATCATTTTTATTCACACAATTGTTCCTCACTGAGTAACTTCTGTTTCTGGATCTATCCCCTGTAAATCATACATAGTTTGTGTGAAAATCCCAGCGTTTTCTGAAATATTCAGACCTACTAGTTAGTCGCCAACAAACCTTAAATCTCCTTTCTTCTCCATCCTGGTTCTTTGAACTCCAGTAGACCGCCTTCACCGGATGCCTAAATGCATTTAGTAGCTGATTTGCAGTTTGAGTTATTAAGCCTTTAAACAGGCATAAAGTGTGAAACAGGTATAGAATGTTCTCCTTCTCACTCTAATGTGCAGCAATAAATACCATTTTATTTGTCAAAACATCCACATCAAACCTATTTTTGGTTGCAAAACAAACAGAAAAAACCCCCAGATAATTTGTATTTTGTAAAATATCTTCTTGATTGAATACATTTGTTTAAATATTCTTCTTAAACATTAAACTGTATCTTAACTATTACGATACAGTTTCCAGCAAGCACCTGGCTGATTAAAGAACAGAAACAGATATACGTTTTATAATTGTGACAGAGTGATTATGATTTGAAATAGTTGAGATTAGAGTTATCCAAAGGATGGAAGCAAAAGTCCAAATTCCATATACAGCTTCTTCTGAATCACATCATATACAAATTAGGTTCAAACTATCCAGATTTTCTAGAGAGATCTTACTGTCAGTGAGGTGTAATTTGGACTACATACTTAGTTATGAATATGTCTCCTGATTTCTTGCAGGAGGCAACATACCTGTGTTTGCTTGTATTATATTTCTAAAGTAAGATGTTAAAGGCTGGCCTTGTCAGGCATTCTTTAGCCAATTCGGTGTGCTCCAAACTCTGCCTTAGCAAAGCCTCGCAACTTTTCTTTCAATTTCTAAATCAATTCATGTTTTCATGTGGAAGCTCGTATAAATGAGATGGTTTTTGTGCCTTTGTACTGTCAAAACACGTCGAGGACATCACCACAGGGGATGAGTGGTATTATCTGTAAGGAGCAGTATAAAAGCATTTTCAGGATCGTGCCACCATGAGTCAAAGTTGTGTTCAAATTGGACCGACTTGCTTAACATTTTTCTGAGCGAGTGTCGAAGAAATGTAAATACGATCCTAACAGAAATAACCCACTATGGTTTTTTATGTACTCTCGTTTTTATGTCTGTGTCAGCGTTTCAAGTGGAATTGGTGAGTAATATGGTTTCATCTTTTTGTTAGCATAGCTATATAACAAGGTAAGTCCAAATCCAGTCAAGCGTATATGTTACATGTCCTCAAACACATGAATTCAGCTTGTTAACAACATTAATATATATTTAATAATCAGTTAGACTGTTCTCAGATATGTCTCGTAAAGTTATGAAAAATTAAGTACATCCCTTGACTTGAAGTCGTCTCTACCCACATTTAATGGAAATCTGGCCTTGCTATGTTTTTCACCTTTGCTTCAGTGCATTGAGGTTTGCAGGCACAAACCTCACAAGCCGCATCGTTTCATTTAGATGGAGGTTCCCAACTAAACCATTGCAACATTTTGATTATTCTCCTTTCCAGCCATTCTGTGGTACACTTGCTGCATTTTTTGAGGATCATACTTCTGTTTCATGGCTCAGTTTGTTATGAGGACGTCTGTTGAAGAAATAGTCTGCAATCTGACTCTAGAATACTTTGATATACAAAGGAGTTTCTGTTGACTGAGCCCAAATCAGAATTTCTCTTCTACACTCCTTTGCGTTGACATGAAATGTTTCCGACTAGATTCTCTGATTAGTTTTCTGTAAACATGTTATTGTGGATAATCAATAAGCATTTTCTTCTATCAGAAGAACATTGTTCCACCGGGGATCAATTTCATTCAGATGCAACTTTGTCTATCTAAGTTGCGACGTTGTACTTTTTGGAGCGTAAACCGTCTTTATCCTGGTAACTCTCCTAAGCAAACCTCACTAGCATTTTAACTGCATTATTCCCAGTAAATGCCTTTCCACTCAAACTCCATCTGTGATTCATGTAGCCCAAAAAACCTGGAGAATCTTTGACTGTTCATCAACCACCATGAGTTTAATTAGGAGCCATTAACATGCTATATTATTGATAAAAATGTGAAAAAATAGCTATAGTTGTTCCCCATGGATCTTGCTCCAGAAAAATGTGGAGAGGATTTTTTTCAAATGAAGCAGTCCTCCGTCAAACAGCTGGTTGAACTAGCAGCTCAGATCTCTGCCATTAATACATTAATACGCCCCCTCACCGCACCCTCTGTGAGGGTGAGGGATGACATTTCAAACATCACACTCTCATAATGCAGAACAGATTCTCCAACTGCTTCCACAAAGTTCACTTTCTGCTGTTATGCCTTTGATCGCCGTCTGGGATGTTTCCACTGGCAATGTTAACCAGAACACACCAGGGACAGGATCACCATTCACCGCTCATTTATCAAAGACTCTCACCTCAAGTGGGTTGGACGGCCCAAAGATGGTTCTGTAGACACAGAACGACTTACAGAAAGAACTGTTGCTCTCGAGAAGATGATTCATCAAGACAGAAAGCCCCAGTCTGGAGACCTAAAGAAGCCAATGCTGACTGACTCACAGCTCAGGCTGTTCCTCTCTGGTCCACCCTGTGAGTTCACCGAAAGACCGGTTGGAATGGCGTCGGTAAATTTTTCAACTCATGTGCCAGCTTCGAATCTTCGCTAGTTTTGTCGGAAGACATGCGCACGCTTCCTGCTGTTGTTATTATTAGTGGAGTAAACTGCTGCATCTGTGGAGAAATCCCTCATGAGCCAGGCTTTCTCACTACTCCCAAATCACTCGTATTACATAATTCATCAGCTGCGTGTATGTGCGTGTGCGAGCATGTGTGTGTGTTTGGGTTTGCTCAGGTCAGTCTCCACTGCAGCCCTGAGGGGGAGCGGAGGGGAATGAAGTCATCGAGCGATAGTAAACAAACCGTTCAGAAGTAGGCAGACGGCGGTGGTCGATAGCTGCAAGGCTAATGCAAGGTTCTGTTTACTCTGCAGGGTTCATGTTGGGTAAAATGCTGCGTTTCACACACACACACACACACACACACACACACACACACACACACACACACACACACACACACACACACACACACACACACACACACACACATGAACTGTCTGAACTTACATGCATCCCTGCATTGGTCTGTGAGCATCTATGTATCAATGCAACAAGTTCCACTGTGAGCTTTGTTTTAAAGGAGGGAAAAGTGATTTGGTGCCCTTGCAGCTCCTGAGTGGAAAACAATATTTTCCTTCTATCACTTGTTTTCTTTTACCTCTCGACTTTGCTTCTATGACCTCACATCGGTGTTGACCACTTTCCTAATCACTGTGTTCCTGTTTGATGCTTCACTTTATCACCTGACCTTAAAATTATGCAAATGCTTTTTTCAGATGTGAATAAACCTAAAGAGTTTTTTTTTTTTTTTTATCTATTTCTATTCGTTCCAAAATGCAATTGCAGGCAAGCTGCAAATGACTTTCAGTTCTGTAAAATTTCTGTTTCATTTTCTTTTCTTTACAGTGAATGTCATAAATTAGCTCATCAGTTGTGAAAGTCTTGCCGTCTATGCTTTCCAAGATGGGGCCACATGAGGTTCCAGTTATTCCAACCTTTGCTTTGCTTTAATATAAAAATGTTAATGATTCAGTTACCAGCCTGGGCTCTTTATGCATGGAGTCACATCGTCTCCAGCTGGATATGCTGGTTTTCTCCAGTTACTCCTGCTCCCTCACACGATTCTAGAGTGTTTATGTTGGAGAACCTGGTTCCTCTAACTTGCCCTTCAGAAAGTGTGTCTGTGTGTTTTAGTATTTCTCACCTTGTAAGGCCCATTTTCCCAACAAATCCTACCGATGTGAGGACATGCTGGTCCTTATGGGGGCAGCTATAAGCCACACCCTTTTGATTCTGTCATCCCAGCTACATGAATACTCACATGACCTATGACCTCAGGAGTTTACCTCGTATAAAGTAAAAAGACAAAGTGAGTTTTGTGGTGTGAAAGGGGCTGCTATGTTTGACAGTAATTAAATGAATAAGCATTTTTATGTTTGAA